GAGGCTGAATTGGACTAGGAGCCCAAGTAGGATTCCTCTACTTGGCATGCCCTAGGCTGCCTCTCTCCCCCTCCCACTTTTATATATGTGGGGAGGGGCGCCTAGAACACACACCAATGTTTGTTAGCCGTGTGCGGCGCCCCCTCCACAGTTTATGCCTCCGGTCATATTCACGTAGTGCTTAGGCGAAGCCCTGCGCGGATAACTTCACCATCACCGTCACCACGCCGTCGTGCTGACGGAACTCTTCTGCTTCCTCGACACTCTGCTGGATCAAGAGTTCGAGGGACATCATCGAGCTAAACGTGTGTAGTACTCAGAGGTGTCGTACATTCGGTACTTGATCGGTCGGAATGAGAAGAAGTTCGACTACATCAACCGCGTTGGCAAACGCTTCCGCTTTCGGTCTATGATGGTACGTGGACACACTCTCCCCCTCTTGTTGCTATGCATCTCCTAGATAGATCTTGCATGAGCATAGGAGTTTTTTTGAAATTGCATGCTACGTTTCCCAACAAGACATAGATATTTGCAAAGTACACACGGATCTAAATGTTGTAGACCCGTTGACTAAAACATCTCTCACAACCAAAACATGATCAAACCCCAAAACTCACTGGGTGTTAATCACATGGTGATGTGAACTAGATTATTGACTCTAGTGCAAGTGGGAGACTGTTGGAAATATGCCCTATATGCAATAATAAAATGGTTATGACCATATTTCCTGTTCATGATAAAAGATTATTATTCATGCTAGAATTGTATTGATCGGAAACTTAAATACATGTGTGAATACATAATATACACCGTGTCCCTAGTATGCCTCTACTAGACTAGCTTGTTGATCAAAGATGGTTAAGGTTTCCTAACCATAGACATGAGTTGTCATTTGATAACGGGATCACATCATTAGGAGAATGATGTGATGGACTAGACCCAACCGTAAGCTTAGTATTAGATAATTTAAGTTATTTGATATATGTTTCTTCATGTCAAGTATTTGTTCCCTCGACCATGAGATCATGCAACTACCGGATAGCAGAGGAATACTTTGTGTGCTATCAAACGTCACTTCGTAACTCAGTGATCATAAAGGTGCTCTACCGGTATCTCCGATGGTGTATGTTGGTTTGGCATGGATCGAGACTGGGATTTGTCACTCCATTTGACGGAGAGGTATCTCTGGGCTCTCTCGGTAATACACCATGACAAGAAGCTTGCAAGTAATGTGACTAAGGAGTTAATCATGGGATCTTGTATTACAGAATGAGTAAAGAGACTTGTCGGTTGAAAGTGCTAGTATTCGACTAGAGGGGGGGTGAATAGGCGATTTTATGAAAGTCTTCAAAACATGGGTGATTCGAAGACAAACGATAGAAATGAACCTATTGATATGCAGCGGAAGGTAGACTTCACTAGACAAGCCATAGTCAAGTAAGCAATGAAGTGAAAGCACGAAGACTATAAGCAACTATGTAGATTGGATCAGGATGGAAGATAGTATGAAGCCAAACAGACAACAGTCTTCACACAGTGAAGTCAAATAGATAAGGAAAGTAGCAAAGACTTCACGAAGACAAACTGTAAGTAAGGCAAGAGAGGTAGGATAGAACCAATTGCTCGAAGAGGACAAGGGATTTGTTCGACCAGTTCTAGTTGCTGTGACAACTGTACGTCTGGTTAGGGAGGCTGAGATTCAACTCAGAAGACCGCGTCTTCACCTTATTCCCCTTGAGCTAAGAACACTTAGTCCTCGCCCAATCACTCTAGTAAGTCTTCAAGGGAGACTTCCAAACCTTCACAGACTTCATTCACTGGCAATCCACAATGACTCTTGGATGCTCAGAACGCGATGCCTAACCGGCTGGAGGATTCACAGTCCTCAAGTGTAATAAGTCTTCAGATCACGCGGACAGAAAGACTTCAGTGACGCCTAACACTCTTTGGCTCTTGATGTTTTGGGCTTTGTCCTCGCAAGGATTCTCTCTCAAAGGGTTCGGATGTGGGTTGCTCTCAAACGACAAAAGCCGTGCACTAGCTCTGAGAAGCCACCAATTTATGGTGTATGGGGTGGGCTATTTATAGCCAGGAGGCAACCCGACCTGATTTGTCCAAAATGACCCTGGGTCACTAAGGAACTGACACGTGTCTAACGGTCAGATTTTGAACACACGCGGCAGCTTGACTTGGGCTACAAGTAAAGCTGACTCATCCAGCTCTGGATAAGATTTGCTCTCATTGTCTTCGCTCGAAGACATAGGATTTGGTTGAGCATCACATCAGTCACTCTGACTTTGTTCACTTGGACCCCACTTAATAGTACGGTGGTTCCTATGACTCAACAAAGAAGAAAAGGAAACAACGAAACAACTATGTCTTCGCGCTCCATAGTCTTCACGCGATGTCTTCTCTTATCATAGACTTCAATGTGAATGTCTTCACAGACCACCATTGTCTTCAATGTCTTCACACATTTTTAGGGGTCATCTCTGGTAGGTAAACCGAATCAATATGGGACTACTACCTGTGTTATCCTGCAATTCTCACAAACACATTAGTCCCTCAACCAAGTTTGTCGTCAATACTCCAAAACCAACTAGGGGTGGCACTAGATGCACTTACACCGGTAATGAGATTGAACTAGGTATGAGATACTGACGATAGAATCTTGGGCAAGTAACATACTGACGAACAAAGGGAACTGCATACGGGATTAACCGGATCCTTGATATCGTGGTTCAACCGATAAAAGATCTTCGTGGAATATGTAGGAACCAATATGGACATCCAGGTCTCACTATTGGTTATTTACCGGAGAGGTGTCTCGGTCATGACTACATGATTCCCGAACCCGCAGGGTCGCACGCTTAACGTTTGTTGACGATAGTGTAGTATTGAGATATTTGATGATTGGTAATTGAATGTTGTTTGGAGTCCTGGATGAGATCCTGGATGTCACGAGGAGTCTCGAAATGGTCGGGAGGTAAATATTTATACATGGAAAGTTGTTTTTAGGGTTCCGGAAAAAGTTTCAGTTTTTTCGATATTGTACTGGGAAGCTTCCAGAAGGTTCCAAAAACTTCTATAGAAGTCCGGAAGTCCACCAAGGGTTCCACGATGTCCCAAGGGTCGGCATGGGCTGAGGGGAGGTGCACTGGCCTTATTAGGCCAGGAGCACACGAGTCCCTCAAAGGCCCATGCAGTTGGAAAAGATGGAAAGTCTAGTTTTGTATGGAAGGGAAGGAGGAGGACTAGGATTCCACCTCCTCCCCCCTTGGCTGCGCCCTAGGGTTTGGAGGGGCTGTTCCCCATGCCCCTCCACCTATATATAGAGGGGAGGGGGCGCCCAAGAGGATAGACCAAGCCTTTGGCGCCCCTCTCTCTCCCCTTACTCCGTAGTTTCACCGTCTCGTCCTGGTGACGCTTAGCAAAGCATTGTCGGTGCTCCACCACCACCATCACCATCAGACCGTCGTGTTGATTGTGATCCCATCTACTTCTCCTCCCCCGCTTGCTGGATCAAGAAGGAGGAGACGTCATCGAGCTGCACGTGTGCTAAAACTCGGAGGTGCCGTCAGTTCGCCACTAGATCGGTTGGATCTTGATGGGATCACGAAGAGTACGACTATATCAACCGCGTTTTATATGCTTCCGCTTAGCGGTCATCAAGGGTATGTAGATGCTCTCCCCCTCTCGTAGCTATGCATCTCCATGGATAGATCTTGCGTGTGCGTAGAATTTTTTTGTTTTCCATGCAACGTTACCCAACACATGGCATGGATTCCGCCGTCAATGACTCGAAGGCAGACAGGAGGGTGCGTGCCAGTTTTTTTTTGCGAAAACTCCCTTGAATTATTTTTTCCCAAAGCCATGCCAACGTTGGAAGACGGCGTTTCATTTTTTTCGATTCTATGGCAAGTGGGCCCTGTGTGTACATACTGAAAATTAATAACAATAAAAAAAGGAGGCCTCCACGTCTAGAACGTGGGACCATTGCCCATGTCACAGTCGATCCTGGCTGCTACATCATTCAGTCTTCACAACTTCAAATAAATTTTTGTATTCATCAATTTGAATATTCAAATATAAGCAGCACATGTTTATTTTTCTATTAATTAAACATTTTAAATGTCCGTATTTAAAAAACAATTTTATATAATACATGTGTGTATGTTTAAATGTTTTTATCTACTAATCATCTTTTGTATGTATAATGTTTATAAAAAATAAAGATTTGAACATTATTTTAATCACTTACATTTCACAAATATTTCAAAAAGAACTAGCGCGTGCAAAATGGGCTGCACTATATGCAGCCAATCTAAGCCCCACATGTATCATCCTTATGCTACATTAACGGCAGTTATCCTTGTTAGACATCCGAATGTAATTGGTGCAGTGGCTATAAGTGCGTGCATCCTAAAATAGGCCGCGCGCTGAATTCTCAAAAAAAAAAAAGGTCGCATGTTGGAGTGCAGGGGTCAAACATTTTCCCTTTTAATTTTCAGGTCAAGACTCCATGTCATACATCAAACAAAACAAAATACCATCTACCGTGTGGGCAGGGTCTTCTTTTGTGAGAAATAAAAAATGTCGAGGTTCTTTTTGCAAAAAAAAAAAAACAGGCCACACACTTCTAGTCGCTGACAGATGGCCCCACGCCATGCTGGCGGCCAAGTCAGCGTTGATTTCATATCCAAACGCGGTTAGCACTCTATTTGCACACCCCAAGTCAAGTTATTACATCAGTTCAATGTATAATTTACTCAACTGAAATATATTAGACCATGAAACTGTCGGTGCAATATACTGATAGGGTCGCATGATGGTTCACACATTTTTTAGAAGGGGACGCGGTCGTTCAGATGCTTTAAGTACAACACACATTCATCAACCCGTGTAAACCACGGGATAGCCATCGAGCATGATTGGCTACACGCAGCGGCGACTGCAGATTCTCCAGCTTCGCCGGCAGTGTCTTCCTCCTTCCGCCCCGTTCACCTCCTCAGGCCGAGCAGCGCGAGGAATAGCGACACGTAGTCATAGCGGAAGACGTGCCGCAGCATCCCGAGCTTGCTGTCGTCGTTCCACGGCGGGTACCTGAACATGAACTCGACCAGGAAGCTTCGCCTGAACACCGCCTTCTTGTGGCTGAACATCTCGAAGGAGTACTTGCCGTGGTACTGCCCGAACCCGCTCTGCCCGACGCCGCCGAACGGGATGCTCTCCAGCCCGTACTGCACGATCGCGTCGTTGAAGGTGACGCTCCCGGACGACGTTTCCTTGACGATCCGCTGCTTCAGCGGCTCGCTCGTGCTGAATGCGTAGATCGCGAGCGGTTTGGGCCTGGAGCTCACGAACTCGATGCTGTCCTCGATCTTCTTCACCTGCAAGCAGAGGCATCACATGTTTGTTCGACTGTCGGTTTCAGTGAAAGGCCGCCAGTGTCGTCGCTGATTGATGTACCGTGATGATCGGGAGGAGCGGGCCAAAAATCTCCTCTGTCATGACATCAGAGTCGAGCGGTGGATTCAGCAGGATGGTGGGCTCGATGCTCCTGCGCCATTGGAATCATGGCATGAGACAGACAGACAGAGACACACAAAAAGAAAAGAGACACCGAGTACTGCAGGTCTGCAGCAGCGTACAGGGAGGGCCAATAATAAGAAGCTAGCACTGAGGCTACATAGGTGCTGTTGAGGAACTTACAAGGTCTTTGGGTCCACGTTTCCACCATGTACAATGGAACGGCTCACCTTGTGATCCTCCAGGAGGCCACTTAACCTATTGAACTGTCTCTCGTTCAGAATGCGCGCCATGTCCTCTGGTTTCGTGATGAGTCTCTCGACTGTTGATTTCAGCAGCTCAATCTTAATTCAGAGAATAACTGTATTGTCAGAACGTAAAACAGCAGGTAATTTGGTCTCATGACACAAGAACAATTCAGCAGGAACCAGACCAGAATCGGCGCAAACTGTTCCTCCACAAGTATGTAATCGATGGCTATGCAAGCTTGACCGGCGCAAGTGGACCATTTCGCGCCTATTATGCGATTTACAGCAATCTGCACATGTTGAGATGCATATGGTAAGGGGAAGTATTTTATCCGACCTTGGCAAAACTGAAAACAAGCGAAGGCCAGGTGGTTTACCTGACTGTCTCTTTTGCTGTCCAGCCAATCTACAATGCACGGGCATTTCGAGCCAAGCTCAAGCGCCACTGGGGTCAGGTGCTTTGCAGCTTTTGTCATGATAATGCGACCTACACGGGCACCCCCTAAACGCCAATAACAAAACAATGATGGTCAGAATTCGAATACGTGCAATGCAAAAACCGTCGAGCCATGTTTGTCAGTTGCTTTTCTTCAGAAATTAGGATTCAGAGATGAACTTGCAGGCTTGGAGTACCTACCGGTGAAGAGGACCTTATCCCATCGGTGCTCCATTAGCTCTTGTCCAACTTCCGCTGCACCCAGGACGACCTTCACAGCCTCGGCGTCCAGGTATCTCGGTATGTTGGCAGCGAGAAATGCCGCGGTGGACGGCGCCAGCTCCGAGGGTTTCACAACCACGGCGTTGCCAGCCGCTAAGGCGCCGGAGAGCGGCTCCAGAGCTAAGGCTGCATGCAGCACAAACGGAGATGGTGGACATTTTGATTATGCAAACTACAACAGTTAAACAGGTTTAAATCATGCTTGGCGTTTATCCGCAGAGCAGAACCAAAAATCATGTTTGGCATGTAAATTTTTTTTTTTTTGCGAAATGGCATGTAGTCGCATATTGCCAATTTTTGCCACAAGTGTGGTAGCTTGTCATATCTTAATAGAAAAGTTATGACAAAATACGAATGTGAAGTAAACCGTAAACAGCACCTATAGCTGGAGTGGGCTAATTTGGCCTCTCATACGTCCGTGAACGTGTATAAACAGTGTCCGTGCGTGTCAGCTTTGAAATCACATTTGTTCATGCACACAGTCATGTCCTCTAAATTACCCAGTCAAATACATACGATTAATGGGATGGAGAGAGACAGAGAAAAAACAAAGAAAAAATATAAAATAGTCTAGGGTGGGCCGACGTGACGGATTACTCGGACTTGTCCGAACATCTTCATATCCCTTTCACATAAGGGCTGAGTTTGAAAATTCATGGACATCCTAGGACGATTTAAAGAGTCCGATTGGACGACATTTTTCTTCCCTCTCCGGTCGGACCTGTCCGACCTGTCCACGCGGACAATAAGGGGAGTTTGAAGGGTTAAGTTGTAGAAGCTCTAAGTATTCGGTAGGATATGATTGTCCGGTTGATGATCAAGTTATTATCAAATTTTCTTTCACTCAACTATTTAGATCTTTCGGGCAGATAGAACCGCCTGTTCGTTCTCTCCTCTTGGGTGGTACGACATTTTTTGTAGGTAGGCGGCACACGCATGTGCACCTCCTATGCACACTGTTAAATGTCACTCAAGGATTCTTGACAGTGAACACGCTTGGTTGTTGCTGCTCACACGCACTTAGTATTTTCATGACTAGTCAGTTCAATCCTTCTCCTTTGCATGTCATTTTTTCTCCTATGGACCGACTTCATATGTGATACACGCTGCGCCGAACAGAGTATTGACCGTTGTTCAGTATAGTGTGTATGCGGTTGGAGTGGATGGCCAGAGTGATTTTTATTCAACATGATTGGCAGCATAATCTTCAGATCGGTCCATTTTCTCCTTTGAAATAAGCATAGTGTCAGCCTCGTAGGACTCTTTTGCCGCCATTATGTTCTATTTATTTATTTATTTTTATTATAATTGTTCATGTTGACTGTGTGCATCCTCCCTTTGAAGAGGTGGAATGTCGCTCAATATGCTTCTATCCGTTTGGTGCTGCATTTTGAGTTAATAAAAGTGTTCTTTATACAAAAATCATGATTGCATGACTTATCCGTGAAATCCTTCTTTGTCCAAAGAAAAAAACATGCAACTTCAGCTCAAATGTACTCCGCGAAGCTTGACCTCATTTCTTGTGATTTCATGACTACGGTAAAACGGCATGTGGATGGCACCATTTGGTCAACAAAACAATTGTCAATAGAAAGCCTAGGGGGTCTATTGTTTTAATTATCTTCTAGCGGATCTGGATATTTTTCTCTTTTGAGAATTAGATTTTGGTGTATCCTCAATGTCTTGAGTAGGTTTTCATATTGTATCGTTATTCAAGTCGGATGTAATTGGCGAATCAATCCGTGGTTGGATGCTTAGGAGGACAGTGGTATCCCCAGCCCTATAACGTTTAAGTCCTAAACTAGGCACTGGTGCTTGTATTTTCTTGGATTCATTTCAGGCTTTCCGGCGATGTTCGTTTAGTGGGAGAAGACGCTCCCATCGACTATGAGGCGCCTATAGTGACTTCGCCAATCTCAAGATGTTGTGCCGGCTCAGTATGTTAGAGGTGCTGACAGGGTAGGGTGTACGTGCGTGCGTTTGTAGGGATGATTGTATGCTCGTGGTTGTGAGCATCCGCGGCTGTACCATGTTAAAAAGAACTTCAAGGCGGTTAAAAAAAGTCAAATGTAATTGGTATCAGGCTGGCCATAGTAGGGGTATCTTAGCCGGTATCATGCACTCGGGAATAGAAAACATACTGATGTGGTAGGGAATTGAAGAAGAGAGAACGTTAGAGTATCATAAGTAGATACGTAACATAATAAATAATATACTACTTTGTGCCATGCATGATCATAAATAAGATCATCTATAATACTACTCTATGATATTATGTACTCCCTCCGTTAGGAAATACTTGTCATTGAAATTGATGTATCTATATGTATTTTAGTTCTAGATACATCCATTTTCATTCATTTTGATGACAAATAATTCCGGACGGAGGGAGTACCATGAAGATAGTATGCATGATACTACTATGTGATACTTCCCACTATGAGTAGCCTCGGAATTAATAAGTTGTCCTTTGTCCAATAACTTTTACTATTAGTGGTGTTTGGCCGTATATTTTGACGAAAAAATGCAATTAGAGAAAGGAGGAAATTAGGAGGGACACTGAAACTTCCTTACCCATATCATTCTGTCATTCAAGTGACCAGCCAACCAAATGTATCGAGGAAACGGAAGGCACTTGTGACAATCGCAAGTGCATAAGACTGCACCTAGCGTGTAGCCATCGGAAAGGTTGTTTAAACTCAGACCTCGTACAGTACATCTGGTCTTTGGTCGTACGAGCATGTGAGGTACTTTGCCAGTAAACCATGTGAGGGTACAGCGAGCCAAAAGAACACCTCGTAATCGTCGTTTTCTAAAACTTGTCAGGTAATTGGTGCTATGCTGGTATTGTCTTCTTCTTCTTTTATATCAATGTGTCTAACATATATTTTTCCCGAATAGATGTTCCATAACGTCTATTCATATGAACGTTCTAATATCTTTTTTAATTGTCGTTCTAGTAACTAAATCACGCAGTTAGTGGATATACATAAGATCGGCGTCCCTTTCTGAAGTATCTTGAATTCTTGATACTACTGATTTCCAGTGGGCACTGGCGGTCTCAGTCAAGTCATTAATCAATTAATATAGACATGAGAATTGCCGCTCAATAAATAATCGATGATAGAATTCGTTTATTCATTGCAAAGATAATAAAGAACTGACAGAACACGTATAATGAAACTGAAAGGAGTGTGGAGCAAAGAGGGTCACCTAATGGAACATTCCAGCAGGAGAAAATCAGCACGACCCCGAGCGGCTCCGGCAGCACTAACGCCGTCGCCGGAAAGGAAACCAACGGTGTAGGAGCCTACACCGACGAAAATAACAAGTCATGCCTAGCCAAAGCAGCGGTCCAAAGAGCTTCTAAGCTATGGCGAGGGCTTGCCTTCTCAGGAGCCGCCCATTTCTCGAGGTTTTGCAGCGTGTGCTTGATGGACTTGACGACAACACCGACCTAAATACCAGCAGCACGGATCAGGTAAGAACTTGGCCAAAAGAAGCACAAACATCTATAGGTGCGTACCTCGTCTCTGAAGGATTCAGTCCGGTGCTTGCCGAGGTCGTCGTGGAGCGCGTCGAAGATCTCCTCCTCCTTCTCCGTCAGGAGCCTGATGAGCCCCTTGAGCTGCGACCGCCTCCAGGACAGCTCCCTGGTCCTGCCGCTCTTGTACACCACTCGCAGGCTGCTCACGAGGCTCCCCAAGCCAAGGGCCGGCTTCTCCTCCATGGTTCCCATGGATGGATGGATGGATGGATGGGTGGAAGGGGCGGGCACCTGCTTAGCTTGGCTTGAGCATGCGGGCGACCCAACGTGTGTTAAATAGGCAACCAGCCGGAGCGTGGCAGACAGACTGGTTGTGTGTCGTGGTTCATGTGGAGTGAACAAGGCAGTTTATTGACCGTGATTACCCAAATCCACAATTTCTTTTGCGGGAACCCAAATCCGCATTAACTAGAGGAGTTGGGGCCTTTTAAATACTGAGTTGTACAGTAGAAGGACTGAAATCGTAGTCGCCCTTGATAACATTTTGACCGGTGAGGAGATTTATTGGTTCAGCAACGTACGAAAGATGGTTGTTGAAAAGTGACCAAATCACCTCTTGTCTCCACAAATTTGCTTGAAAATCCGTCTTTCCGAGTGCCGACACATTTCCCGTTTTCTTTTCGGCGGGCACTGGACAAAGATGATACGTGTCGAGTATAACATTCAGACAACCTCAAAAACTCGGCAATGGATGGCTTTTGACGAGAGCACGCCAAAAAAAAAGGGGCCTACTGCTTTTGTCATTAAGGGCATTTCCAACACTGACCTGTAAATTTGCTTCAGCATCCGTTCGCGAAGAGGGGACAAGTCCGCGGACATTGATGCTGAAGGCGGCCATCCAACGCTAGCTGCATATCTCCGCTTACATTTCAAGTAGTGTTTCAACTAAGTGGACAAAATTCGTGCAAACACAGCGGATTTCATCAAAGTCTAGATAGAAAAGAACACAAATCATTTATATATAGCATGCAAATAAGTCTAGTACAACAATAGTCGAAGTTCAACAAGTTTTTCATGAACGGATCATGTCATCACATACATACTGCCCATTCAGCTTCATCCAACAGTGTGTGTAAATGACCGTCCCTCTGTCCCGTGGTACATCATGACATCACGTGCGGACTACATAATATGTAGGTCAACGTTGAGTGAATGATTCAATCAACAAGTTAAGCAAGAAAAAGCAAAACTTACGATCTCCTCCTTTGCCGCTTGCTATGACCACCTTGCCTCCAGCCGACCAATCGTGTCACAAAACTTTTTTTGAACATCTGTAGAGACACAAATGCTCATACATACGCGCATACACTCACACCTATAAACGCACGCCCGCACATGCTACCCCTATGAGCACCTCCGAGAGACTGAGCCGGCATGTCATCTTGAAACTTACGAAGTCACCGTAGGCGCCTCATCATCGACGGGAACGTCTCCTCCCACTGAAAGCGCATCGCCGGAAATCCTGAAATAAATCCAGGAATAATGCGAGCACCAGGACTTGAACCCTGATGGGCTGGGGATACAACTGTCTCTCTAACCATCCAATCACAGGTTGGTTCGCAACCGCGTCACAAAACTTGGTGACGGAAGTCTAGATGGCGTACCATCATCAATACAATACGATAACGATCTCACATTGCGTTGTTGGATGATGTGCATGTCGTAGGGCGCAATGTATTTTCGCGCGTGAAAGGAATTATGCACGTGCTGCCAGAAGCCCCCCCCCCTACTCCTGCCTACAAAATCCACGGATACGCCTAACCACACATCGCACAACTTAAAAATCTGTCTTTGCCGAGTGTTGACATCTTTCTTGTTTCCTTTTCCGCGGGCAGTCCGTAAAGAGATATGTGCCGAGTATAACACTCGTCAAACTCAAAAGCTTGGCAATGGATGGCTTTTGCCGAGAGCACGCCAAAAAAATGGGCCTACTACTTTTGTCATTAAGGGCATTTTCAGTGTTGAACCACAAATTTGCTTCAGCATCTGTCCTTGGACACTGATCCCGAGGGCGGCCATCCAATGCTAGCCGCATATGTCTGCTTACATTTCAAACAGTGTTTCAACTAATCGGACAAAGTTCATGCAAACACGGCGATTTTCGTCAAAGTTCGGATAGAAAATAGCTTAAATCATCCATACATAGCACGCAAATAAGTCTAGTACAACAATAGTTCAAATCAACAAGATTAATGGATGTTCAACAAGTTTTTTACGAACGGATCATGTCGTCCCATACATATTGCCCCTTCAGATTTCATCTAACAATGTGTGTGCGTAAATGACTGTCCCTTTGTCTCGTGGTACATCACGACATGACGTGTGGGCTACATAATGTGTAGATCAACATTGAGTGAATGATTCAATCAACAAGTTGAGCAAAAAGAAGCAAAACTTATGATCTCCTCCTCTGCCGCTTGGAGTGACGACCTTGCCTCTAGCCGACCATCTACATCACAAAACTTGGTGACGGAGGTCTAGATGGCGTGCCATCAATATGATAACGATCCCACATTGCGTTGTTGGATGGTGTGAATGTCATAGGGCGAAATGTGCTTTTGCACGTGAAATGAATCATGCATGGGCTTCCACAAGGCCCCCCTCTACTCCTGCCTAAGAAATCCGCGAAACGGCCAACCACACATCGCACAACAACTCATCCTCCATGGTCGAGTACCCCGGCATCCTTCATACTCTCAAAGAACGACATGGCATTCGAAAACTAGCTCAATGGCATTTGAGTGAACACCTACCGGGCGTGGTGTCCACCATGGAGACGTCGACCGGGGGGGGGGGTGTACCCAACTACGGACAGGTCTTGGGTGGACGACACTGTCGTGAAAGGAGAGCAGGCGCATTGGTGCTGGCTGTAGAGGTCAGACAATGCCGGTGTGCCGGTCGGAGAGGTACATCGACGGTGGCAGAGGAGGAGGGTGCGGATGCAAAGCAAGGGGGAAAGTGGCAGAATGGAAGAAAATGGGACCGGGAAGGTGGATTCAGTGAGCCGGGGATGTTGGAGTCCAATGTGGCTACTGTCCGGACTCCCACAACCCCTCCCACCCTCCACTTTGCTTCCAGTTTGCGGGGAAAAAGTGCGTTCGGACTGCCCGGCGGACCGATACAGGCCCGCGTTGGATGGCACAACACAACGGGCAGTTTAAGGGTCAACGTTGAAGATGCCTGATGACCCACAAGTATAGGGGACCTATCATAGTCCTTTCGATAAGTAAGAGTGTCGAATCCAACGAGGAGCAGAAGGAAATGACAAGCGGTTTTCAGTAAGGTATTCTTTGCAAGCACTGAAATTGTAGGTAACAGATAGTTTTGTGATAGGATAATTTGTAACGGGTAACAAGCAATGAAAGTAAATAAAGTACAGCAAGGTGGCCCAATCCTTTTTGTAGCAAAGGACAAGCCTGTACAAGTTCTTATAATGAGAAAAGCGCTCCCGAGGACACATGGGAATTATCGTCAAGCTAGTTTTCATCACGCTCATATGATTCGCGTTCGTTACTTTGATAATTTGATATGTGGGTGGACCGGTGCTTGGGTGCTTTCCTTTCTTGGACAAGCATCCCAGTTATGATTAACCCCTATTGAAAGCATCCGCAACTACAAAAAAAAGTATTAAGGTAAACCTAACCATAGCATGAAACATATGGTTCCAAATCAGCCCCTTACGAAGCAACTTATAAACTAGGGTTTAAGCTTCTGTCACTCTAGCAACCCATCATCTACTTATTACTTCCCAATGCCTTCCTCTAGACCCAAATAATGGTGAAGTGTCATGTAGTCGACGTTCACATAACATCACTAGAGGAGAGACAACATACATCTCATCAAAATATCGAACGAATACCAAATTCACATGACTACTAATAGTAAGACTTCACCCATGTCCTCAGGAACAAACATAACTACTCACAAAGCATATTCATGTTCATGATCAGAGGAGTATTAATATGCATTAAGGATCTGAACAAATAATCTTCCATCGGATAAACCAACTAGCATCAACTACAAGGAGTAATCAACACTACTAGCAACCCACGGGTACCAATCTAAGGTTTGGGTACAAAGATTGGATACAAGAGATGAACTAGGATTTGAGAGGAGATGGTGCTGGTGAAGATATTGATGGAGATTGACCCCCTCTCGGTGAGAGGATCATTGGTGATCATGATGGTGATGCTTTCCCCCTCCCGGAGGAAAGTTTCCCCGGCAGAACAGCTCCGCCGGAGCCCTAGATTGGTTCCGCCAAGGTTCCGCCTCGTGGCAGCAGAGTTTCTTCCCGTAAGCTTGCTTATGATTTTTTCCAGGGTAAAAGACTTCATATAGCAGAAGATGAGCACCGAAGGGCCACCAGGGGGCCCACGAGGCAGGGGCGCGCCATGTAAGGCTGGGCGCGCCCCCACCCTCGTGGCCAGGGTGTGGGCCCCCTCTAATACTTCTTTTGCTCAATAATTGTCATTAATTCCAAAAATGACTTTCGTGGAGTTTCAGGACTTTTGGAGCTGTGCAAAATAGGTCTCCAATATTTGCTTCTTTTCCAGCCTAGAATCCCAGCTACCGGCATTCTCCCTCTTCATGTTAAACCTTATAAAATAAGAGAGAATAGCCATAAGTATTGTGACATAACGTGTAATAACAGCCCATAATGCAATAAATATTGATATAAAAGCATGATGCAAAATGGGCGTATCAACTCCCCCAAGCTTAGACCTCGCTTGTCCTCAAGCGGAAGCCAATATCAAAAAATATGTCCACGTGTTTAGAGACAGAGGTGTCGATGAAAATAAAATACGGACATGAGGGCATCATGATCATTCTTATAACAACAACATATATATAATTTTGTCATATGGTTTCTTATGCTCAAGTAACAATCCATTCACAATGTCAAGTATGGTTCAGAAACTTCATTGAGAACTAACAAACTATAATCTCAGTCATTGAAGCAATTGCAATTTATCATAACATAGGAAAGAGTCAACATAAGAGCTTTTCAGCAAGTCCACATACTCAACTATCATTTAGTCTTCTACAATTGCTAACACTCACACAATACTTATGGTTCCGGAGTTTTAATCGGACACAGAGAAAGATAGGGGCTTATAGTGTTGCCTCCCAACGTTTTACCTCAAGGGTAATGTCAACAATAATAGTTCATGCTAACTTACATCTAATTGGAT